GAATCTAGTAGATTATCGAACAACAACAACAATAATAATTTCCCAATGTGCCATTACCTTGATGTGGTTATGGAGATTGTGAGCTCTGAAGAAATTGAGAGATATGTCAGAGATGCAATCATACTGAACGGGTCTCACCAGAGGAGCCAGAGGAAGAGTGTCTCTCCCGTTAAAAAAATATGGTGAGATGTAAATTACAGAAGCACCTCCCAGCTAGGTCATCAGCTGTGTCAAGAAAGACATGCTAGGTATTGGAGTTCCTGAACTTCTGGTGAAAAATTGCCTACAGGTTTCCAGAATGTTGACTGAACAGCCAGGGCCAGCAGCTGCAGAAATATTGGGAGGAAAGGTGTCTCTACCCACTGCAAATATACAGAGATAGAAGACAAAGGAATAATGATCTGTTATTACAGATCAAGTTCAACAAGAAGATATTTGAAATGAATGCACCAATTCTGGAAAGAACAACATCCAGAATCGGAAATAACACAACAGAGGCTATGAGGTATGATTTATAATACGAAATAAAGTACTCACAGAAGCAGAATTGGAAGAATTTCAAAGGTCTACTCGGAGCAAAGAAATCAAAGCCTTGCCAAAAATAACTCAGATTGTAGGGGCAAACCAGGGGGGCTTGGCCATAGAAGAAGCCAGCATAGCTGTTAAATTATTTTCACAAACAGTTTCTTGCAGTTGGTTGTGTATTTGTGTATCTGTATTTGTGACAGGAGAAGCAGAGACATCCTTCAATCCAGATAATCTCATTTGCTGAATGACCAAGCAGCCTGATCCTGAGGTGGCCCAAATGGAACCTTTTCCTGTTAATACTTGTGATAAATCAAAGGAAAGCTGTGTGCTTAAAGGGATGCCAATATTAAATATTAATATTAATATTTCCTAGGTAGTTTGGAGTTAATGTAAGAAGCATAATAATGCAGCCATATTGGGTCCTATGTGTGCTCAGAAAACACTGAAATATTTCTCAGACCAACTGAAGCATAATTTATCATTGGATTATTTTATCAGGAACCATTTTGGCATCTTCTATATTTTATCTGGCATCAGAAAGAGGGAAATCTAAGCAGGAAAGAAGAGACTAGAAATCTAGAGGCAGTTATATAAAAAGAGTCCAGTTTTCCTAACTATATTTCCTTCAAATTAGCTTCCATTGTTTTCAATGAGTTTAATTTTTAGGCAACTGCTTCCAAAGATGCAGTTTAAGCAAATGAAACTGACTGTAAATTATCAGGAGAAAAACAGAGAGAAACTGGACTCAAATAATTTGCCAAATAATTTCCCTAGCAGAACTTAATAGAAAAGGACAGCCCCAGTGATCTAGAATTGCAAGCCTCATTTTCACAGGTGTGGGAATATACCTGAAATAATGCTGTGAAATGTGAAAGGCATAATCAGGTTTACACCCAGACTCGCAATCCTATTAGAAAATCAGAAAGGGGAAGTTAGAGTAGACAAATTATTCCTTCGCAGGGATTTTTTTTTAAAGGAGGTAAAATGTAAAGTAATACTGCTGGTAAGCTAAAAAATAAACTGCAAAGTATCAGATCTTAGAAAACATAACATATTTTCTTGAAAACAGAAATATAAGACAGCAAAGGGAATTCTTTCCTCACTGTCCCACTTTTATCCCAGAGATCAGAGGAAGTCAAATGAAAATTTCCTGGCATCCTGGGGTAATAAAATAATCTCTGTCTTCTTGTGAAACCGCATTTGTGTGGATGTTGAACAGTGACTCTTTGAGAATCGTAAGTGCTATATAAGCATCATTTTCCCCAAGAAATTCAAGCTTTGCTTATTTGCACAGACTTAAGTATGAATGTAATGAGAAATAAGGTTTTTTTAAAAAAGCATCCTGAAAATGGGGCCTGTTAAGTGAGAATCTAATGAGTTAGCAGTGGACGAGTCCATGATTTGCACTTGAAAGAACTAACTGGTAATTATTATAAGTGCAATAAATCTGATGTTCTTGTCATTATTTCGTTTAATTTCTGCTTCAGACTTTCACAAATTCAACTTTTTATGTAATATAAATATGGCCCGAAAATGCTGGAAAACATAGCCTAACACCTCTGAACGGCACTAAGTTGGGATGAATATGTGTTCAGTTGTCCCTAAATACAATCTGTCCTTTTTCCTAGGCAACTTGATTTCCAGAATGAAATTTTAAAAAGGAAATAAAGCAGAAATGAAAATACCTTCAGCTGATGAACTGGATAAAGCTGAGAATTTCTTGGTTGGAGGGGGCCAACAAGTATAGTTCTGCTAGTGCCATTCTCTAACCCAGGGGTCTTCAAACTTGACAGCTTTAAGACTTGTGGACTTCAACTCCCAGAATTCCTCCTCCAATCATGTTAGCTCAGGAATTCTGGGAGTTGAAGTCCACAAGTCTTAAACTTGCCAAGTTTGCCTAACCTAAGGTAAGTAATAACTTACAGTGGAATTCAGGTGTTATAACTTCTCTCAACCTCCTCCTTCCTTCTTCACCCAGTCACCCTCCTACTGAACAAGTAGCATTCCTTTATCCATATGTTGCGATGATTCTCAGCTCAAACATTAAGAACCATCTCTATCTGAAGTAGTGAGACATTATTGAAGATGATATTTCTTATTATAACATAAAGGTTGTGTCAGTTTGGTACTGACGAGTCAATACAAAATGCTTGCATCTACTGCTGTTCATATTTTTTAGCCGCATTTACATTATTAAAGGGACTGTTTTAAATATAGATTGTGGTTGTGATTGTGGCATTATTTACTATCATAAGGTAGAAAAGAAGAATTAGGAAATAGTCTTTCCCATTTTTAACCAGAGGTCTATCTAGAATAGATTTTTTGGAGCTGCCTAGAGAGAAGAATGGATAGCAACCAAGAGTATCTTTCACTTTGATCAATTTCATATGATTTGAGTAAATAACTATTTGGGATCTGTTTTTATTTCTGAGCTCTGTCAAGTCAAATCAATCACTGAATTCACTGGAACCTAATATCAAAAAGATTGCAGCCTTTCTAACCAGTTTGTTATTATTTTCAATCTGTTATACATTCCACTGTATAAAAAAAAGCATGGTGTCTTTCTAGCACTTATTTTACCAGGGTAAAAGCAAAGCCTGTTACAAGGAAGAAAATTCTCTAATTCAGGTAATAAAAGTAATAATACTGACTCAATTCAAACAGCCAGTATTTCAATAATTCAGTTCTCCAATTGTGACATAAACATGCCACTAAATTCAAATTATGTCTGATTTCCCTGGGTGGAAGAGTTCCTAGTTGTAGTCTGAATAACATCACATTGATTGCAAGTGTTAAACTGGCAGATAAGGACACCGTAATAGAACATTCTAGCAAAAAACTGACCACTTAACAAGTATAGTAAATAAATAATGTGTACACGCTCATATATATATACATGTCCTTTTTTTTCAAATAGAAATTAGGTATGTCTTTAGTATTATTCAAATCTAGTCCAGCTCTTTCTCCTGACCTCAGTCTGAAGCTATATTACTATGATCTGTTTCTGCAGTGTATTTTATTTTTCCCTTCTAGCCTATACCCTGGTACTTCTTGATACTCTTCCATCCATAAATGAAAATTAAATGCTTTCATGTAAATCAGTTTAATCTTATGAAACTTAATGAGACTAGGGCTTAACCATCTTAGTAGTTTGTAGAGTAAGAATGTAGAATTGTAATGAATTGATGGTTATTTTTCGTGGGCTTTAACCTGCATTTTATTTAGGTTCATTTTTCCCCTATATCCTTATTTCTAAAATATAGAGTTTCTTGTCTAATAACTAAATCCTCAAGGGTTCTTTCAACTCAAAATGTAACTGGACTAATTTATTTGATTTAGAGCAGGGTAGCCAAACACTGAAGTTCTCAAAGTATTTAATGGGCTTTTTTGACAGGCTGAGATGCTACAAAATGCAAACACTCCAAATAAATAACTAGGCAAACCCGAGCCTCTCTAATTATTAAGTCTCTGAAATGTGATTTGGAAGATAAGACACAGAGACAAAATATTTACACTGGGGAGGAAGAAGGGGGAAACAAGGATTAAAGAACACGTAGGTAAATCACCCAGAAAACATAAAATGGTATTCTGTGAGCTTAGGGGACAAACTGAGCTTATCTAATCAAAAAGAAAATTAAAGATCTTCTTTATATATGTCATAGGGGAGTTGTGAGATACCTCTTTAGATTGCTTTGCTCCAGATTGAAAAAAAAATATTTATTGCTTTCGTCCAAATTTCTATGAGTTCCTACGGTTCTGTTCCCAACACTGGGATTACTAATTATATAGCCCTGCTGGTCTGTTAATTTCTAAATAATTATCAAGTTGATAGGATCTATTTTGGTTTGATTTGGGGTTTTGTATGTGTACGTATGTGTATGTGTCTTTGTTAGAATCTCTAGAGTCCTCATTCAGAAGCAGGTAAAAAAAAAAAAGAAACTTGTAGAATATTGAGGGATCAACTCCAAACTTTCATTTTTGTAACAGTTTAATTTCTGGAAGGGTAATTTTGCTGTGGGAACTCAGAAACTTATTCCAATATTCCAAAATTGTTCAGAGATTTACCAGCCCATTATATCTGGGTCTATCTTCTCCGCAAGCCTTTCTTTAGCAAATACATATTGAGAATCCTAGCCACTACCTATTTTTTTACAATACCAGAAATATAGACACTGTGTTCATGACAGCAACTTGCAATAAAAATTTAGGAAGGTACCTTTTTTAAAAAAAATCAAGAACTGTACTCAGTTAAATGGGTGTGTATGGCCAGGAGAAGTAAGTAAATAGGAGAAAATGGAAACACCAGCGCAAAAATAAACAGGATATTGTTATGTCATGCACTCCATAAATAATTTTATTAAAAATTAAATATCTGGGACCCTGGGCCAGTCACTATCTCTCAGATCAACCCACCTCACTGTTGTTGTGGGGAAAATAGGAAGAAGAAGGAGTACAGTAGAACCTATGGTCATGACCATAATTTGTTCCATAACTTTGGTGATTTCTTCATCTTCTAATGTTCGTCTTCAGGAATTTCAGGGTCAGGGGTCGTGTTTGATCGGCACCCAGGTATGTGTTCATGACCAGATTCAAAAAGTGGATGTCATCCAGATACTATCTTGAATGATAACTCCTTGTACATCTATCTGGGAGAATGAGCTAGACTGTTTGGAAGTCCTAATAAAAGGAAGCAATTTTTTAAAATAGTTTGGGATATACGATGATTTATTCTGACACTTCACCAAATCAATATCTCAACATTTATATTTCAGCCACACCAAAATTCAAAAGAATAAAAATATTTAACTTTTTTTTTGCTTTTCCTTCAGGTGGCGCAGTGGTTAGAATGTAGTATCACAGGATAACTCGGCCCACAGCCAGAATTTGATCCTGACAGGCTCGGGGTTGATTCAGCCTTCCATCCTTCTGAAGCTGGTAAAATGAGGGCCCAGATTGTTGATCCAGATTGATATTTATAAACGGCTCAGAGAGCACCATGGACTGGTATATAAGTCTAAAACATTTCTTGTTCTCTCTATTCTGTGGTATCTTTATGATTCACAGTCAAATGTAGGTGTTTTTCAGTCTATAAATATTACTCCATGAAAACCCCTTCTATTTTTCACTGCTGTTTTTCAAGTCACCAACATTTTTATTATTTTTGCGAGTGATTGAAGCACACAGATTATGCATCCCATGCATTGCATCCAACATTTGCTGTGACCATTGTTAGGAATGTAAGTCACCTAAACAGCTATTTGGGTTGGAAATATATAAACCAGGATAGACATTTTAATGCTGTTTCTTTAAGAAAATGCAAAAATGTAATTAGGTGTGGTTTCTCAAACGGCTGTAAGATGGAGGCAGAAACCTGGGTTGTTTAGTCTTAGTCTCAGAAGAGAGTGTGTCTCAGTGAGTCTCTGTTTCCTTCTGTTGGAGAATATTGCCATTCTTCCTAATTGACTGATATTCTTGGATTTGATGTAAGTCTGATACTGAACTGTTTTTGACACTGGACTTTGTTATTGGATTATACCTGGATTGAAAACTGACTGATTTACTTGTGAATGACTTTGGACTGCTTATTTTGAACTTTGCTTAAAAGTTTCTGGAAGTAAAAACCTACATTTACTGTATAGTGTGTGTGTATTATTCAAACACTTCTCTCACTACATCTCCCTGTATGCGCTCATTCTCCTAACGAGGAATTACCTCAACACTGGTTATGGGCCCAGGCCATACCAGGGTCAGATAACTGAGAGTTAGTGTGAATGCACAGTACTGTATACAGACAGCTGTTTACTGTTTAATTGTGGGTTACTATCCTGGTAAAGATGGCACAAGACACTTCAACAACTCTATCGCTGATAACCCGGTTGGATGGAACAAACTATGTTTCCTGGTCTATGAAGTGCAGTCTACTTCTGCGTAGAGAAGGGTTATGGAATGTAGTTCAAGACCCATCAGATATAAATGCTTGGGATCCAAATAATGAGGATGATGCCAAGAAACTTGCTGACTTTAAACAGAACAACGAATGAGTTCTTTGTATAATTGGACTAACACTAAGTGACCAGCAGCTAGTCCATATTCGTGGAGAAGAGTCTGCTGCTAGGTGTTGGGAGAATTTGAAGAGGATTTATGTTTGTGACAGTGTAGGTGCACACATACATCTTACACATAAACTATTTAGAGCACATCTTCTGAAAGGTGGAGATATGTTAGTTCATTTAAACTTCATGAAAATAACTTTTCAAGAACTACATGAAAAGGAACTGGTATTTTCAGAGCTGCATCAAGTTTACATCATTCTTTCCTCATTGGATGAAAGTTATGATGATTACGTATCTTCACTGGAAGTCTTGCCGAGAGATAAACTGACATTGACTGACATAACTGGAAGGTTGTTAGAAGAAGCAAGAAGACGGCTGGATAGGGACCAACTGAGGAAGGAACAACCACAAGAAGAGGATTTGTCTTCAACTGCCTATACTATTAGGAAATGTTTTTCTTGTGGGGCTAAGGGACATATAGCTAGATTCTGTAAGAAGGGAAAAAGACAGAATACTGGTAATCACCAGAAGGCCAAGAAGAATGTTAGTTTAGCTATGTCTAGCAATTCAACTGTAAACCATGATTTGTGGGTTGTTAATAGTGGAGCATCGCAATGAATTAATAAAAATAGAAAAAAGTTTGTAAAGATGTCCACGAGTAAGCAACATGTATCATTGGCAAATGGATTGAAGATTAAAGCATCAGGTGAAGGTACTGCATATTGTTCTTGTATAAACAAACATTTAACTGTGTTATATGTACCTAAACTGAAATTTAATTTGCTATCAGTAAGGGCTTTAGTTAATCTTGGTTATGTAGTAACCTTTAGGGAAGATAACTGAAAAATAGAGAAAGAGGGTAAAAGTGTTACTGCTAATTTAGAGAATGATTTATATGTGGTACATAATGACCAGTTGAAGATGGCTAACTCAGTTTATAACAATGTTAAGCCACATGATGAATGTATACATTTACTACATAGACATCTGGGGCATATTAATTTCAAAATGCTCAAACAAACTGTTGTCAGAGGGAGTAAAATTGAAATCCTGTAGCAAGTATTTAAGCTGTAATGCTTGTAGCCAAGAGAAGAGTAAGGTTACTCCTGCAAACAGACTTAATGGGTTTAAGACCAAAGAACCTTTAGAGGTTGTTTTTGTTGACATAATTGGTCCTAAGAAACCAAGTTTAGGAGGTGCCTGCTATATTTTGAGTACTATGGACCATTACTCATGATACGGTTTCTGCTACCTTATGAAAAACAAAACAGAAACATTCCAACATTTTTTTAACTAACTAAGGTTTGCTGAGAGAAAAATGAAAAGTGAAGTGATTACTTTAGTTCCTGATAATGGGACTGAGTTTGTTAACAAAAGATTCCAAACTATGTTGAAATTGGCTGGTTCTACACCTTACAGACCACAACATAACTCGTTTGTAGAACAAAGAGGGCAAACATTATAAGCCATGGCTCGCACTATGTTATCTGACTCAGATTTGCCTGAAACACTGTGGGGTGAAGCCATAATGTGTAATAATCATGTTTTAAACAATGTAGTTAATACAACAACTGGTGAATTGCCATTCACTCGTTGGCATGGCAGAAAACCAAATTTAAGTTACCTACACACATTTGGAGCTCCAGCATGGGTGTATATTTCCTCACAAGTAAGACTGAAAGGGCAACATAGAGCTAAGAAGTTATTTTTTGTGGGTTATAAGGCCAACCATAGATCATTTAGATTCTGGGATCGAGGCACAGCTCATGTTTATTGTAGTGCTAGTGCAAAATTTCTCGAGCACGTTTGGTGGGATAAACTGGAACAGGAATCCAGCAATGATATTATTATTGAAACCCAAATAGTCCCTAAAGATAAAATAAGTAAACCACAAATAGCCATTAAAGAGGAAGAACAGGAGAAGTAGGAGAACAGGCACAGGAGGAGGTAGAAGAACAGGAGCAGGTGGCACAGGTGAGTCCACCAGTAATCCTGTATTATGAAGACATTCAACCCGAGCAACACAACCACCTGATAGATATCAGGCTAGTGTTGTATGCCAAGTGAATACAGTTCCAAGTAATTATAGTGAACTAAAACTGTATCCTGCTAAGGATCAGGCTGCTTGGCAGATAGCAATGGATAAGGAACTGGAATCATTAAAAAAGTTGGAGGTATACAAAATGTTAAGTTACCACCAGGTAAACATGCCATAGGATGTAAATGGATATATAAGCTAAAGACAGGTGTAGATGGGACTGTTACCCATAAAGCCAGGTTAGTAGCACAAGGGTTCAATCAAACAGCAAATGGCTACGATGAGGTGTTTGCATCTAGTCTGAAGGCTACAACATTAAGGGCAGCATTAGTGTGGGCAGCTAAGAAAAAATACATTGTAAATCATTTGGATGTAGAGACAGCTTATCTGCATGCACCGTTGCAACACACTATTTATTTAAAGAAACCTTTAGGTATTAAAGAAGATAATACAACTGATTGCTGGAGATTGAAAAAGAGTCTTTATGGCTTGAAGCAATCAGGATATGAGTGGAACCAATGTATAGTGAAAGAATTAACTAAGATAGGCTTTGTAGCTGGCATGGCTGATCCATGTCTGTTTAAAAGAGAAAGTAATGGTGTAATTTCATTGTTGCTATTGTTTACTGATGACATAGCATTAATCACCAAAACTGAACAAGAAACTATTAAAATAATCTCACTGTTAGAAAAGAAATTTAAAATAAAACAGTTAGGAGAAATCAAACAATATCTTGGTTTAAAGATAGAAAGAACTAGGGCAGGATACAAGATCTTAGAGGCAGATAAAATTAACCAATTACTAAAAAGTTTTAAAATGAAACTTGGTAAACTGGCTAAAACACCGATGAGCCAGGAGTTTAGCCACAGTGATGTTCAAAGTCCTATTTTTGATAAAAACATTTATCAGTCCTTGATTGGTAGTTCATCTTATCTCAGTAATTGGTCAAGGCCAAATATTGCATACAGTGTTAATCAATTAGCGAGATTTAACGCTGAGCCAACTGAAAGGCTCTGGCAAGCTGCTAAATGTGTGTTAAGATACCTGAAACAAACAATGCATTATGCATTGTATTTGGAGCATATGCTGATGCAAGTTTTGCTACAGACATAAATACACAAAAATCTACATCAGGTACTGTAGTATTATTGGGGAAAGCATTGATTGGATGGAGATCTATTGGACAGAAACATCTAAGTTTGTCAACAGTGGAGACTGAATTCTCACGTTTGTCTTTATTACGTACAGATTTAGTTTTGTATAAACAATTACTAATTGACATGGGAATTGATGTAACAGATACTATTGTAGTTTACGAAGATAACCAATCAACAATACAGATGGCTTCAAATATTGCTGTTAAGAACAAAACACACAGATTTAAGGTATTTAAATGTGAGACAATGTGTGCAAAGTAAAATGATTAAGCTGGAATACTGTATGTCAGAAACCAATATAGCAGATCATTTTACAAAGGCCCAAGGCTCTATAAAGCATAAGGCTTGCTGTGTATGGACTTAGAATGTAAGGTTGTATATATTGTCCTACCCAAAAGAGGAGAATGTTAGGAATGTTAGTTACCTAACAGCTATTTGGGTTGGACATATATAAACCAGGATAGACATTTTAATACTGTCTCTTTAAGAAAATGCAAAAATGTAATTAGGTGTGGTTTCTCAAACGGCTGTAAGATGGAGGCAGAAACCTGGGTTGTTTAGTCTTAGTCTCAGAAGAGAGTGTGTCTCAGTGAGTCTCTGTTTCCTTCTGTTGGAGAATATTGCCATTCTTCCTAATTGACTGATATTCTTGGATTTGATGTAAGTCTGATACTGAACTGTTTTTGACACTGGACTTTGTTATTGGATTATACCTGGATTGAAAACTGACTGATTTACTTGTGAATGACTTTGGACTGCTTATTTTGAACTTTGCTTAAAAGTTTCTGGAAGTAAAAACCTGCAATTACTGTACAGTGTATCTGTGTGCTGTGTGTGTATTATTCAAACACTTCTCTCACTACGTCTCCCTGTATGCACTCATTCTCCTAACGGGGAATTACCCCAACAACCATTTTATTTGTTCCAGTGGAAAATGTTTATAAATCATGATACTCCTTAATAATACTTTGAGTAGCTTGGTCACATATTGCTAGCTCACAGAGTTCTGACCAGACATGTGTGCAAAATTATATGCATCACATACCTATGTCAAAACAGACATGGGAATGAAACTTTTCATTTTTAATAATGGATTGAAAGTCAGTAATCCTTTGAGATTTGCACTTCTCTGAATTTTGTAATGCAATCCACCTTTTAAGAAAATGTAAAAAAATATGTATATACATGAAAATAATGTAACATATATTATGTCATGTATACTGCATAAAAGTGCAAACAAAAATGCATATCATTGGAAAATATACATACAAATTATAACTATCTTTTAAATAAACAAATAATTCTCCAACATGTGAGCAGAGTTGAATTAAACTTATAAATGAAAAATTGATACAAAATGGGGAAATCAGAATAGTATATTTAACCACCCTAAGACAAATACATATTCATTTTTTAAAATATTTTTATATTTTTATTTCTTTAAATATATCTTTAGGTGATCACTGTGGTTCCAGGTTTTTTACATTTTAAATCAATCATAACCATAATCACAAATACAGCTTTCTTATCTAATTTCACATCATTACCTATTACCAATTTTCCTTTTTATATTCTCATACATTACTTTATATCAATCTCTTTGTTCTTAACCATTCTCTATATTCATTAATTATATATTCTTATATTCCATACTGCCTGAAGTAATAATAATTTATTAAATTTATATACTTCCTGATATTTCTTACCCATACAAAAATTACACAGGGTTAAATAATAGATAATTTTGGCTGTGCAATTTTTTATAAATTATTTGCCAGTAATTAATTCTTTTATAATTCAGGGTCAAAGTTGCCTGTTTTATCTCTCTCAGAGATGATGATAGATTAAAAGAGCTAAACAATTTAGAAAAGTGTGGGAGAATATAATCTTGTGACAATTAGAGCACTTAAGTACCCTACTGACAACTGTGGTGAAAACAGCAGTAAAATTACACTTTGATGAAATTAGAAAAGTTCCTGTCTTTTTTATCCCTACTCAAATAAACTTACATGCTTTGTATCACTAGCTAGTTCATTAGGGAAATTTATCTTTCTGGTGACACAGACATAAAACATAGCTTTAAATATTTATATACGATCCTTTCAGTTTGCATTTTTGAATGGCACAGAATTTGAAATTCTTATATATGGAAACAATGCTAAATCTTCAATTACTTACGAAAAGCAAACCCCCTTTAACTGATAAATTAAAGTTCAAGTGGCATCAGGTTCAGATGCAAGAATATTTATTTTACTTCTGTGTGATGCCCAAAAAGATTGATTACAATATTGGTACCAGGTAAAGGTATTTAGGAGGAGAATGCATTGTAACCTAGGAGCCACAGGTGAGAAGACTCTTTCCTAATTGGATAATACATTTCTAGTACAACAGACAACCAAAGAAGAAGGAACTCTTGATATCAAAAGAAAGCCAGCATTAATCACTCTATTAATTGGGACAAGCAGAGAGACAAATATTATATTGCATTACTACTTGTTCTGTTTATGCAGTTCTATGGTGGAAAAATGAAGCAGTTTGCCAAAGCAGTAACAAAGGTTTGGTACTTTGAGGAATTTAAACCCAGATAACCCTTGCCCACCAGCCTTTATCTATCCCAGACCCAGATTAGCTCAGCATCAGATGGAGCAAGTGGAAATAGTTTTGGTTTTGCTGTAAGTTATTTATTCCTAGCACTGAAGCACACGATCGTGTCTCCCTAGGAAGAGTGAGTTATGATCAAATTGCCACTTTAGAGAAGAGATCATTTCTCATTTAAATTTAAAAAATACAGCTGCCTCTTAATGTCTTTTTGCCTCAGACACAAAGAAGCTATCTTAAGAGTTTACAGTAAGAATGTTTTTTTCTTTACACATTAAATTGCGATTGTTTGCTTTTTCCCATTTCTGTGTGCTGGTACAAAGAAGAGGTCTTCAAATGCCAATGGTCAGTTCCAAATAACTTGTATTGCTTGCCAGACAGTGAAGAATAATTGATCCCATTTCTGCAGTACTGTGCTTTCTTTGGTTTTTGTCCTTAAGGTGACTTAAGGTGATTAAAGAACAAATGTTCCTTCACTTTTTGCTCCCAAGAAAGGAAAGGTTCAAAGGAAATCTGCATGCTGGCTGAGGAATTCTGGGAGTTGAAATCCACCAGTCTTAAAATTGCCGAAGTTGAAGATCTCTGCTATATAGTACTTCTCATGTAGACCTTAGATTTTCAGGATACTAAAAACTGAAACCCAAGGGCTCCTGAAAAAAGGAAATAAAATAAACATTTGCTATCAGTAAAGCATGGTAAGAGAGCAGTCCTTGTGCTCTCTGATTTTGGTTATTTTCCTGAAGACATTTCATTACCCAACTAGGTAACATCTTCAATACTTGGGTAATGAAATGTCTACAAGAAGATGACCAAGCTCTCTGAGCACCAAGGACCCCACAGTTTAACTCGGACCTACAAATATTTTCCTCCATTAATCTAAAAGGAGCGAAGGCTTTTAGGGTCAGCCTACAAAATCCACATTTGGGGGGATGACTTGCTCAGTGAAAAGTTCAAATTTAATCTAAATTCTTTCAACATCCCAGTTCATGCTGAGTTAGATTAATATGGTCACTCATTTAACCAAAATGATAGGTATATACAAATGGATAGTGAGAAAAGGATTTATAGCCCGTATTCTGCCTATGTGAAACATGTAGTATGACATCTGATGAGTATGATGCAAAACATATATGTCTGAACAACCTAGGAAACATTGATTTCAAGTGCACTTTGAAAGCCACCATCAAAAATATAGTTCTCTACAAGTATATATTAATATAGTTCTCTACAAGTATATATTAAGCCCAATTTAAGAGTGACAATTGACATGTAGGTCCCATGTAAAAGATTCCTGTTTAAAAAATATAGAAATGCCATTGAGAAAAAAGAAACAATAGCAGCAGAATTCAGTGACTAAAGTTTTGAATGTTTAACTAAAAAGAGGTAGCAGTTCAAGAAAGTCTTTAAAAAGGATCGTCCAGATTTGTTTCTGTTTGGAAACCACTTCTGAATTTTGTGCTTGAGATAGAAAACCAAATGAAACTTTGACTTTGGGGTTTGCTGAGTAGATAAATTGGTTGTTATAGAAATGGCAAGTATATATTCAATATGTAAAAGTAAAAGGCCATAATAATATTATTTTAGTCTTTGTTAGTTGTGAAGTCGTGTCTGACCCACCGCGACCCCATGGACAACATCTATTTTAGTCTACTGCAATGAAAAAAAATTAGAAGTCAATTTTTTTTCTCCCCATCCTATACTTTTCTCTCTTCCCCTTTCCTCTCCCCAGTTTCCTTCTATTTTTATTTGTACGTCATACTCTGATAAGTTTAATAAAAAAAAGTTCTCATGAAAGTTTAGTAGCGAACAAAGGAAAAGGAAGACATTAAGGGAAAGTTAGATTCTTTCACAGAAAAGAACAACATACAACCGAAGTGTGCCTTAGGCTGCCATCCCCTGGTGATTCTAGGGAAAGACCCACTATTAATTATTTGTCTTTCAGGACAATTAGACAAGTACCTCCTCCATCTCCTAGTTTGAATGTTTCCACTTCTTTTCATATAGGAATTTAAAATACTAATTCCTCACCTAGAGAAGTATTCCAACTGCTTTGAAATTTGGGTGTTTTTTTCATTTACAAAAATCAATGTACCTTTGTAACATATAATGTATGTTAAGGAACCCCACCAAACTTTTGAAAAAGGCAGAAATACCAGAAAGAAGATAATATCACAGGCACAAAGGTACATAGTAACAAGAGGAAATGATATATTATTTTGCAATTATAATAACAGTAAAAACTGTGATCATGCCTGCAAAATCCACAATAATTCAGGTATATCTTTCTATAAATACCTAATCTGGGCATGAAAGTTGACTGTCACTAATATTGTGGGAGACTCTAATTAATGTGGCTTTAAAATTTGTGTAACCAGAGGGAGTATTTACTAATGGTGGTGATAGTATTATTTTAGATTATGGAAGACTCCATCCTTGATGGAGATGCAGTGACATCTTAGAGGAAAAGGCTGGAATTTTCAATTTCCTAAACTATATCCTTTTCTTAATAGATGGAACCCAAATGTGTTATTACATTAGCTAAAATAGTTTTCTGTTGCATTCATATCTTCCTTTTTACACTTTTTCACCTTCTCTCTTTCATTCTTTTGGTTCCTTCTACTGTATAATTTAGATTATGAGTTCCAAGAAGCATATGTTACTTTCTGTATATGTCACTTTTTATACTTTTCCTTTTTGTCTTTAATAGTATTAGGCATCATTTATTAGGACGTTTGTTATCTATCCTTTGGAATAGTTATATTTAGTACTACATGCATTGCACTGCTTTGAACATAGAAAGATTTTTATATGGTTTGCATAATAAACACATTTTGGCTAGAATCCTAGCCAAATACTGAGCTCCCATGTATCAATGAAAATGGATAGCGCCTATGATGGGATAGGTTTTTGTTAGAACAAAATATGGCTATTATTATGTGTTTCACATATAACTTGGAGGGAGTAAACCAGAGGTGGCATTCAGCAGGTTCTGACCAGTTCTGGAGAATCGGTAGTGGAAAATTTGAATAGTTCAGAGAACCGGTAAATACCACTTCTGACTGGCCCCGCCCCCATTTATTCTCTGCCTCCTCTGCTGATTGGCTGGGTCTTCTTTTGTTGTCCTGCAGAGAAGAACGGAGGTGGAAAGCAGGTTAGTGGGGTGGGGAGGGAATGGGATTTTGCAGTAACCTTCCCCCAGAAGTGGGGAGGGAATTGGAGATTTTACAATATCCTTCCCATGTCACGCCCACCAAGCCATGCCCACCAAGCCAGATCATGCCCACCAAGCCATGCCCATAAAACTGGTAGTATAAAAATTTGAATCCTATCAGTGGAGTAAGCTGATAGGGTTTAGACTTAATGTTCAAACTTTATGAACTAGCTGAAAGGGAGAGAGGGAGATGGGGAGATAGAGTTCACATTTTAAAAAGTTGGCTAACCTGTTGGAATGTTCACATATTTTGTGGGTAATGAGAATGAAGTAAAACAGAAAGAAGGAAGTCTTGTATATATATGAACTGGAGATTTCAGCCATTGCTAGATGAATTTATCATTCTCAATGTCAAATTACATCAAACATTTAGGACCAAACAAAAATGTACTTTATACATAGATGTGCACGCTGATAATTCTGAAAACATAACAGCAATGAATTCTCAATGTATTTCTTCCTAGCAACAAAGCCTGAAAATGAAGTAGAGGCCAGTGATAAAGAATAACATTTATATCAAGATTGTTTGACTGTAATGCCAGATGGTGCAATGGAAAATAGTGGTTCTAGATCACGGGTGTCAAACTCGCCATGTCACATTGCCGTCACGTGATGTTTCACAGCATTTTTCCTATTCACGGAGCTGGGGTGGGCATGGCCTGCACATGACACATCCGGCCCACAGGCCACCAGTTCGACATACCCCTGTTCTAGATGGTGCACTGGAAAATAGCAGCCACCACCAAACTATTTCACCAAGGCAGGAAGGAGAGACCAGAGCATATATTGTAGGCCCAGAGGATTTATGGAAGAAGAGGGTTGAGATTTCCATCATTTCACTCTATGGGCTTAATATCACAGTTTGGGCACCCTTGCTGCAATGTACAACTTAAATATAAGTGGGGGGGGGAGGGAGAGGGAGATATATATATATATATATTAGTAATCTAGAACTAATTGGGTGGAATGCATGAAGATAATGAACAGATCTGACATTTAAAATATGCTTGAAATCTGAAGTACAGGTTTCTAAAGAGAAGGAATGAATGAAAATAGTAGGGTTGTGCAAAGCATTTTGAGGAGGTGTTTCCAGGGGTGGGATTCCACCAGTTTGCACCTATTCACTAGAATAGTTGTTAACATTCTAAGCAGTTCGGAGAACTGGTTGTTAGAAGAAATTACTGACCTAATCCCGTAAGGAAGGCAGGAAGGAAACATTCTGGTATTGCTTACAGAAACTGCCTCTCCGTTAACCCTTATTACATTCTTGGCAGGACTGGACTGCTTGTCTCAGGAATGTCTCTGGAGTTTTTTTCCCCCTCCTTTACTGGTACTTTGCTTGTGTGGAGTGACCATTCAAAGTTACAATGGAACTGAAAAAAGTGACTTATGACCATTTTTCACACTTACAACTGTTGCAGCATCCCCACAGTCTTGAGAGGCCAGGCAAGGAGATGCATTCCTTGATGTGAGTGATATTGAGTTGGCCACGCCCAGCCAATAACATGACCACCAAGCCATGTCCACCCAGTCACATAACCACCAAGCCATGCCCACCACCTAAGCCACGCCCACAGAACCGGTTGTTAAAAAATTTGAATCCCACCCCTGGGTGCTTCTCAAAGCATGTTAGCATGATGAAAGATGTCTTTCTGAACATGTTAAAAAAGCCATTGTCCTCTGGAAAGTTTAGGAGCTGGTTCTGAAGACTTGCCCCAGTGGTCTATGTATGGGCACAGATGCAGAGGTAATAGCAAATCATCTGCAACAACATGTATATATGAGGTTCAGAGACAATATAACATCTGCAAAAGCCTTCCAAAAATATGCAAAACCATGAGGAGGAGCTCTGTGACCTGCAAAGTCCCATTCCATGAATTAAAATATTAAGATGTACCATAAGGATCAACATATGGTTGGAGTTTTTTCCATGATATAAAGATCAAAGGGCCATGGTGACTGAACTAGCAATTAAGTTGTTGTGGCATATACTTAGAATGCAGTATTGTAGGCTAAGTCTGGCCACAGCCTGGAGTTCAATCCTGACAGAGTTCAAGGTTGACTCAGCCTCCCATCCTTCCAAGATCGGTAAAATGAGGACCCAGACTGTTGGGAGCAATATGCTGACATTTGTAAACCGCTCAGAGAGTACTGTAAAACACTATGGAGTGATGTGTAAGTCTAAGTGCTATTGCTATTGCTAACTAGCAACTAAGTCATTTTCCTACGTAAGAACACTGCTAAAGGGTTTTGACCATATCAGAATGATCTGCTCCTGCCAACCATTCTTTTAACCTTGATATTTATTTCAGTTCTATATACTTTTGTGCCTTAGATACATACTACACGTACTTTCTTCCAGCTGCTTTCTTTTCTCAGCCATGACTTTAATGCAACTTGAACTTGGCCTGGAGTTTTTATGTTACTGTCTCATGGAGTGACCCGACCCTGGTATCATTTATATTGGTATAATAATACGTAGATAATAGCCATAGAACTCAGTAAACCTGGTGTAAAGAAGATTAAAATCAAGCATTAAATATCTTGACATTCCCAGTTTACAACCATGCAACCACACACATCTTTGAAAACTTGAAAGGTTCAGTAAGATCAATGTTACTGTCTTCAAAAAACATTTTAGATATTAAATGTTTCTATTTATGTTGTCTCAACATTGCTCTTTAGGATGCCATAACTTTGATGAAGATTAGTTGTGGAGTACATTTTTATGTTTTAGGGGAAATCATATTTACTGCTTAATGTTTATCAAATATTCCAATAACTGGTACTGTTCTTAAGGATAATGACATATCTTATTAGATGCCAACAATTATTAGATGCCAACAATTCAAGACCTTCCATCCAGTTTAATTTATATCTTCTCAAAAAATAATTCAGTTTTTTTTTAATGTCATGTACTTTCTGAGACTACTATTGCAATGACTTAAATTGAACTATGAAAACCTAATCCTAATGTATGCTCTCTCCTTCACAACTCATGCATCAGTAGCATATCTGAAATTTGCATCTAAAAACTTGTGTGCTTTAACTGGGATCAAGTCATACAAAACTACTGATCTGATTAGGCTGACTCATACATATAAGCCATTATCATGTTATTGACCAATACTGTCTACCATGCCTATGTTTTAAAGTGATT